TGTCTTTGCCAAAAAAAGTGCAACTGAGTAAGCAAATACAAAATTAGGCAAAGATTTTTGTTACAGAAGTATCCCAACAAGTAAATGAAGAAAATAATGATATACTTTAAATATTTCCCTGTTACAACCAGTATTAGCTCTTCATCACTAAAAATGAGTAAACCAATTTAAAAGAAGATTCATAATGGCTTAGTTTCAGAGGTTTCAGTCCAAGGCCAAGTAGCTCCATTGTTTCTGGATGTGGTGTAACAATAACATCATGGCGGCAGGGCATGGCAGAGGAAAGCTGCTTTCCTGGTTGCAGCCAGGAAGGGGAGAGGGGATAACAAGAGAAAAGTGAGAACCAGAGAAGGGGCCAAAGACGAGATAGCCTTTTCATGGGCACACCCCGCCCCCCCCGTGACCTACTTCCTCCAATTTGGCCTCTCCTCCTAATAATCCATTTAGCTAATGAATTTATAAATGGATTCACCCACTTGATGAAGTTAGAGCCTTCATGATCCAATCATGTCCTCAAAAGCCCTTCAGCTGCTGTTGAAGTAAGCCTTTTGCGGAGATACTTTAGATAACAAACCTTACCACAACCTTTACTAAGTAAATAATTTAAGCATTGAATATTTGTAGCTACAATGCAAAAAGAAAGATAACTTGACATTGTACATTCCTTTATTAAAAAAAAAAAAAATCCAGGGCCAGGGATTTAGCTCAGTGGTTCTGCCATCTGCCTCAAAAGCGCAAGGTCCTGAGTTTGATCCCTGGTACAAACAAAATAAAACAAAACAAAATAAACAATCTAACTGTTATGTAACCTTCCCCTTGAAGATGTTTAAACCTCTAGGTACAATCGCTGGTATGCAGGAAATTCAGAAGTCATAGGAAAATGACAACCTACACTATGGGAACACAGTCACTAAAATCAAAATTTAATGAAGGAGCTAGGGGGAATGTTGTGCTGTGATAGACCAAGTGCATAGCACACACAAGGCCTTGGGTTCAATCCCTAGCACCAAAACACAAGCAAACAAATTTAAACATTTTTTTCAATAATATAATTTGAAAGCTAGGCATGCTGGCACACACCTATAATCCCAGAATGCAGAAGGCTGAGGCAGAAAGATCACTGCAAGTCCAAGGCCGACGTGGGATACATAGTGAGTTCAAGGTCACCATGAACCACATAGTGAGACCCAGTCTCAAACCCTCACCCCAAAATTTTGAAAAATAAGGCTGTCCTCTTGAGTATGTTACCTGAGAACTGGTGCAAGCTCCACATTCAGAACAGCCCTATACTTGGTTCAGTGCTCTGATGTCCCTCTCTTGAAATTGTTTTTTTGTTTGTTTGTTTGTTTTTTTAGTACCAGGGCAGGTCCTTGTGCTTGCCAGGCAGGCACCCGGAACCACCGAGCTAAATCCCCAGCCCTTAAAATTGTTTTTTGAAAAAGTCTCAAAAATTATATAGCTTCTCTTGCCAAAATGGGAAAAAGAGATATATGCAATCTATAGATTTCTATAGATTAGAAAGATCTCAAATACAGATTTTTAAATATAACAGTGCCTAAAGCTGAGTTCATGTAGACATTGTTGTGATCCCGAATAGCTTTTAAGCAGCTAATTGGCGGGGGGGTGTTGAGACAGGGTCTCACTATGTAGTTGAGACTGACCTGGAACTCACTATGTAGCCCAGGCTGGTCTCGAACTCAGTGATCCTCCTGCCTCAGCCTCCCTATTGCTGGGATTACAGGCGTGCGCCACCACACAGGCTCTAGGCAGCTAAATTTTTGATCATTGTAATGAAGAGAAAAAAATAATGCCCACTGGGCCTACCCTTCAGTAACAAAAGATGGGACGGTAGACAAACCTCTAGCTACCCAAAAGAGTTGGGTGTGGTGGTGCACTCCTGTAATCCCAGCAATAGGGAGGCTGAGACAGGATGATTGCTGTGAGTTAGAGACCAGCCTGGGCAACATAGTGAGTTCCAGGTCAGTCTCAACTACATAGTGAGACCCTGTCTCAAAAAAAAAAAAACAAAGGAAAAAAAAAAAGAAACCCAAAAGAGCTGGGGGAAGGGATTAAAAAGATCAAAATGCAATATGTTTATGTTCCAATTCCCCAAGATGAATGTAATTACTATGCATCACAAACATATAAAAAGAAACCCCCCAAAAGCATACTGCTTAAATACTTTTCTACTAACAAATAGAATTATAGTATCTGGGGGTAGGGGGAGGTTGTTTTGTGGTGCTGGGATCAAACACAAGATCTCACACATGCTAAGCAAGCACTCTACTACTGAGCTATATCCCAGCCACCAGAGTTTAACTAACTTTAAAAATTTATATACCATGAGCCGGGTGAGGTGGTATGCACCTATAATCCCAGCACTCAGAAGCTGAGGCAAGAGAATAGTGAATGTTAGGCCAGATTACATAGAAACACTCTGTTTCAAACAAAAAAATTACATATCATGAGACGACCCTGAGCATCTTGAGATAAGGGTCTATACTATTCATGTTGAGTCCATATTAGAGAGATATGAAAGAGACTTTTAAAACTCATTGAGCTGGGAGGAGTGGAAATTCCTGTAATCCCAGCTATTCTGGATGCTGAAGCTATAGGATGATGGTTTTGGCCAACTTGGACAACTTAGTGAGACCCTGTCTCAAAATTAAAAGGGCTTGGGACACACACACATGAAAATCTGCTAGTCATGTCTTACTTAGTATTGTAATATTCTACTCACATAGTCTCCATGGTGTAATGACTAGTGTTGCTAGTGACTTGCGGGAGGGGGGGTTGAGACAGGGTTTTGCTTTGTAGTTCAGGCTGGCCTCAAACTCATGGCAATCCTCCTGCCTCAGCATCCCTATAGGCATGAGCCACCACGCTTGGCATGATTTGTCTATTTTATTAAAAATTTCAAATAGTTTTGATTTCTTTTATTGTGGGCTTTGTTTTTTTGTTTTTGTTTTTTTTTGTAGTTGTTGTTTTGTTTTGTTTTTGGTACCGGGGATCAAACTCTCCAAGGAGTTCGCTTGTGCTTGAGAGGTACGTGCTGTGCCACTGAGGTAAATCCCCAGCCCACTTAATAGCATTTTTTTAAACTAACCTGTTAAGTGAGCCCTTACCTCCTCACACTTTTGGGAGGGAGATGAGCCACTGGGGATGGAAAGCACAGCCTCACACAGACCAGGAAAGTTCTCTAACACTAAGCAACACTCTCCAGCCTTATCATTTTGAAATAAGGTCTCCCAAGTTCCCCAGGCTGACCTTGAACTTGCCAGGATTTTTTTTTCAAAATCAAATTATCTGCATTTTCAAACTTTATATTGCCAGTTGGTATTTCACCAAATTTTGTCTCCAGGCCTTGATCAACTGTACTGTAAACCCACTAACAACCACAAGGGCGAGACGCGAGCAGCATTGCGTTCTTAGGCAGTGCCCCGGAAATCGCAAGACCTAGACTTAGAGGCGGCCTGTGGGACCGGTGGGCGACTGAGCAGCAGTAGCGCGAGTCCTCCACCCACTCCCGATGAGGACTAGGGACGGCCAGCGCGGGTCCCGCTCCTGTCTGCCCGCAGCTGCTCCATCCTCCCCCTTCCCTGACGCGACACCGTAGCGCGGCTCCTCCGGCTACTCCGGAGGGCACCCAGGAGTCCACGCTCCCCGGGATGAGGAGAGCGTGGAGCGCCCCAATGACCTCGGCTACCTCGGCTCCCTCTTCCCCGCAGTTCAGGCCTCCCGCTTGGCTCGACTTCAGCCCAGCCGGGCCCGGCCTCACCCTCGCGGGTGCTCACAAGCACTGGACAGGAAGGACGCGAGGCACAGAGCCCGTGGCTGTCCTCGGGAGGCGTCAGTGGGAGCCTGGCGACGGCACGCGGCCTCGCCTCAACTGCTGGAGCAGTCCCAGCCCCAAGATCCCCACGCCCAGGGACGTATCCGAGACCAGTGTGGCGGGCAACGCCAGCCAAATTCCTGAACCTGGCGGACGCAATAGGTGATCTCTTACTGTTTTTAAGAGACCTCTCTTTTCATGGTCACTGACTGCAATCTTATCTTCTATATCT